ATTTAAGCTGATGAAGGCGAGATCGCTCGTTGCTAATGAAATAGGGTAACTTTCCGATTTGATCATTCAAAAAGGGCCATCTCAAGTAAGACAAGTGGTGAGAAATTTGCTGGAAAATTTAAAGGGTCACGAATGGGATGATTCAAAGAAATATTTGGAAGTCTCTCTTGCAGTTCTATTTAGCACGAAAAGATCAGCAATTTCTAAGAAAGCCACTGGGAGTCGAGCCTACATCAGTAAAATCTTAAATCAGATTAATAAAGTAAATATGTCATTGTGTATGACATACTCGTAAATCGGAAAAGTTGTAGAAACTACTAGGTGTAAGATCGTAGGCTTTAGTGGAACACGTACTGCATTGTAAATTTTTATTTATATTGTTGATTTTTCTAGTAATTAATATTTGTAAGTTCCTGTGTTGTGAATGAAGAAATCTCTCGTTTGTTTCCCAGGAATAAGACAAGAAAAGTTTAAAGAAGCTCTCCAAGACTGTAATTTAGTTTTGAAAGATGAGCCTGACAATGTCAAAGGTGAGTAGTTGAACTTTGATTCTAAAATGCCATCTTTCCATCAGAACCATGTATTGTGCACAAAACAAAACAAATCTTATAGGTTGTGATTCTGTGTGTCAAAAAAATGCAATCAAATTAATTTTGAAATAAGTGTGGTCTACCCTTAGTGGCTGCTGACATCTAATCAATTTTGAGGTCACTGAAATTTCCAAAAAACTGACAATACAAAATTGACAATACAATGTTTCTACAAGATTGTAGATTGGTAGATCCTTACTGTGGGGAGAACCCTAATGATAACACACTTAAGTGTCTTATTTTCAGGCTACATGCGTCGTGGTGTGGCAGAAAAAGGTTTGAAAGATTATTCAAGTGCAAAAAAAGACTTCCAGCATGTGATTTCTTTGGAGCCTAATAATAAACGAGCAAAGGTAAGCCACTTTATATGATGATAGTAGAAAAAGTTGTAATTTATATCGGAGATACATCACATAATTGCGTAGTGACAAAATAAAGTTTGTTATGAAAACAGTCATTGTGTAGTTTTTACAACTGAATATAATTTATATGCATGCCATGAAATTTATGATTATTTATAACCACTAGTACACAATTCTGAGGTTATTGAGCAGTGAATAGGCAACATGTTGAAATAAATGATAGCTTTTGTTTTGATTTTTGAGCTTCCTGACACCAACTAATGAAGAGTCTATCATATCACTTTGCAGAAATTAAACAAATGATTCAATTTGATTATTTTAATACAACACTGTCTATATGTTAGTAAAATTGAGAATAACGAATATAACCCAACTTGATGTCAATTAGGGTTTTTTCTAGAAAAAAACTGCAAGAGGGAGCACTGCCCTACCAGGGTGTAGAGTTTTTGATAATTCTAAGTTAAAATGGAGCATTCTATGGCTTCCTTAGGGCCAAAATTACTATCAGACAGGTCACAGTTGAAGACTGAACACATGTGTTCCTTGGTCAATCAGAATTTTATGGTTGCCAGAGGATCTGCTCCCCAGGGTAAGGGGGCACATAGCCATGGCATGAGAGCGCTGCGCCCCTGTTCCCTGGTTTAAAAAAATCCCTGTTGATAATAATGTATTGTTCCAACCCATTCAGAACATCCTTAATATGGTCAGTCAAGTCTAGAATAAACCAACTGTTTATTTAAATTCCAAACAGTTCATAAATTAATGAGATAGCCAACTTGCTGTCCTAATACTTCTGATACTTGTTATAAAATACCCATATTTTGTACCTGAATTGCATTTTTGCTTTAACTCTCTTTCATAAATCAAGAAGTAATATCAGAAGTTTTGATTTTCTAATGGCGTTGGAACTGATGTTGTTCTATTACAGGAACTTCTAGCAGACATAGTGACAGAAGAGGCTAAAAGTTTGAAGTCAAAAAACAAAACTAAAAAAGATAATAAAACTTCTGAAGGAGGCAAAAGATTGATAATAGAAGAAGTGGAAGGCAGCGATAGTAGTGATGATGACGATGATAGTTTTAACAATGAGAAGGTCACTGAAAACAAGAAAAACATTCCAAATGGCGACATCCAAGAAGATGTCAAAGAAGTTGAACAAAACGGCATCAAGAAAAGTAAACCATCATGTAATGATGTAGGACCGGCATCAGAGAAAGACATTTGGACTGAAAAAGACATCGATTTAAAACAGGAAGATAAATCGGGAAAGCAATTCGGAAATACAATATCTAATAATGAAGAAGTGATTGCGAATGATGCCGTTGATGGTATGCGTCATTCCAAAATAGAAAAAAAAGAGCAAAGTAACAAATTGTCTAAAGCTGATAAAAGTAACAACATAGCTGAGAATGTAATTCAAAGTAAAGCAGATTGCAAAGAAGTTGCTGTGGCCCAGAAAAAGGAAGTTGTTTTAGTTGAGAAGAAAGAAGAAGCCACTCCTGCCCCTCCTCCGCCACTTCCTTTACCACAGAATGTGATGGAACTGAAGAATAAAGGCAATGCTTTATTTAAAGCAGGACAGTATGGCGAAGCTGTTGAGTGTTATACTAAGGCTATAAATGTTTTACAAAAAAGTGAGTACAACTAACGCCACTGATGTTTTCGTATTGGGCTTCCATACTTCAATATTGAAACTTTTGTAACAGAGTTTAATTTGTGTATCTGGCTATTTGAAAAAACAACTTGGTGTATCCAAAATAATCTTTGAATTCAAAAAATTCAAAATTCTTTTTTTTTGACTTAAATAGTCCTGCTTAATTGATTTCACTATACAAGCAATAATTTATCAAAAAAGTCGCATGTCATGAGATATTATGTATATCTTGAATGTAAACAAATATTAATTTCATAATGATTTTCGACCTTTATTCTAAAAAAAAAGAATGCTTGGTTTACACATTACCATGTTTTTTAGCGAACTACTATAAAACATGTTGAAAAATCGGCATGCAATTTTAGCGAATTGTGGTAAAATGACGTAATAACGAAATGTTGATTTAGCGAATCTCTCTTGTCATTGTTGATTTCTTTGTTTGGCTGCCATTTTGAATTGATAATAAAGTCATTAGCGACATCTTGAATTAGCGAATCAGTTCTCTCGCTAAATTCGCGAAAAAGACATGCTCGAGAAAAAGTCATGTTTTACAGTATTGTTTGATTGATTTTACAGATGAAAAACAGCACGCTGCCAACATGTCTGTACTACTTAGTAACCGAGCAGCATGTCACAGTAAAACTGGTGACTGTAGAATGTGTATAGAAGATTGCAATAAAGCGTTACAGTTATTTCCATATTTACCTAAACCTCTACTTAGACGAGCTGCTGCATATGAAACACTTGAAAAGTAAGTTAAATAAAAATTACTACTTAGATTCGTTTTGGTGAAAAGGTTTTAAAATTTTGATGAACCTTTTGTTAGGAATGACAAGATTACTGCAAACCACTTTTTGTGCAAGACAAATTTTGTATATCTGTGAAACATCCCGTGATTACTGATTGTAGTGGTAGGTGTACTGCCAGTCCATCAGAATATATATATATATATATATATCTTTATTCAGTACTATAGGCCATGGGCCTTACATGTACAATATTAAATATTCTTGAAAATAGAATAAACCCTCCCCCAGTCATTTCATAAGTTTTCGGCGATTCTGTAATGAAAATAAAATAAACTTGCTTAGATTTACTAATGTATTTGAATTACTTGAGTTAATTAACAAAATAAATTTCTATTCTGCTGCTGGAGAAAAATAAAAGTGTGGAATAAATTTCAGCCTGAGATTGGCATATTGTGGGCAAATTAGAAGAATGTGATAATCATCTTCAATTTGATTACTACAAAATGGACAAAACCTCTATTCCAGTGGAACCCCCATCCCTTTCCCAGTCTCAATATTTAGGCCATGTGTAGAAATCCTAAAACAAGACAGTACCTTTCTATAAGTAACATTTGAAATACATTCTAAATACTTTTCATAAGTCATATTACATTTCAATTTACAGTATGTGCACATTTTGGGATACCCTGCGACCCCAGTAAACCATTCTTGCACAGAAATATCAAAACTTCGCTGTTAAAAATTCATATAGAAAGAGGTCATAGTTAGCCACCTGTTGTTTTACCCATACTTCACTAAAACCATATTTATTTAACAAGTTTTTGACATACTGCCAGTCCATAATTGGTAGACACAAGTTGAGATCCTATCTGGGGATGGGGTGGGGGATGCTGGTTGAACACCAAAGGCTGCTCAAACTCTACTCTGGATAAAAGTGGGCTACACACCCAATAAGGTACAGAGAAAAAGTAATGATGCACACTGGCTGAGATTCAATAAGTTGTGTATGTAATTCTGGGGAACCTTGGGTTCCATGCACCTTACTGATTGGTGGACGACTGGCTAGCAAATTGCCATAATGTCTGTGATCACACAGCCCTATCACAAACATATAAATGGCTTCTGTGGCAAAATTTGCTGTATGTTGAGAGAGACAACTGTGACATTAAATGTCAGTACTAGTTGCCTGGTACAAACATATGCCATTGAAGTTTTTTCATCGGTTCTAAGTGTTATTCAGACCATCAAGCAAGATCGCTTGCAAATTTGCAATAATTTCGGGCGTTTACATTGGTAAAGTTGACAATATTGTTTGATTGACAGGCATGCTGTCTAGGATTCTCTTGTTCATTAACTATTCATCATTTTCTGTGTTTTGTACATTTTATATATTTTGTGTACCGGTAATATTAAAATCTGTGATATACAGTTGGTGCTGTCAATGAATTTTACAAAAATTCCCTTGCTCGTTTTTGGTTAGTGGTACTGATACATCGCAAACTGGTAGTGTAAAAGGTAGTTTTAATTTGGTTCACAGTCGCCTAAAATGCAGATACTTGCCTTTGGTTGAAATAAATGTATTCGCACATTTCCCTCAATATGGTGAATAACTTGTTCATGCCAACGAACGGCACCGCCAAGTGTTTTGCAAAGCTTCTAATCATTTTACTGATTGACTGAATAATTCCTAGAATTGCTGTAAACATCATCATATTCTCAAGTTTCTCGTAGTGAAAATATAATAGATTACTGTGAATATGATAATAATAAGGAGTGTTTAGAAATTCAAATGTTATTGAACTTTTTTTCAAGGTACCGAGAATCCTACGTTGATTACATGGCCGTATTTTCAATTGATCCGTCCTCTATGGTTGCGCAGGAAGGATCCAATCGAATGTGCAGAGTATTATCAGAAATGGACGGACCAAGATGGCGAGAGAAACTACCGAAACAAACTACAAGCCCCATTGTTAGTAAGTTTCCACCAGTTCTCACTACACTAGCTAGTGATAAATCAGCAGCTCTTACAACGACTGTTAATAGCACCAGTACAACTACATCCACATTGAAAGAAGCTACTACGATTAAAAGTGAAACTGTATCATCAGTCAAGATTGAACAAGAACCTTCAAAAGAAGTCCAGTTTCAGAACTTAAAGGATGAAGGCAATGGTTTTGTCAAAAAGGTACATGTCTATTTCAGTTGGTTATTTTTATTTCCAATGTGAGTTCAGTTCTCATTATTTGTCTAATGTCTTGTACTGCATATTCATTAAGTTTTAATTAATGCTTGCATTGCAATGTATGTGCAGTGCAGTAAACCTTTCATATCTGGTCATAAGCCCCTCTTTTGGTATACTAGTAATCCCATCCTTGTGTTTTTAGGTACTGCTAAACCATTTTATTTCACCATTTTGATGTTTGAAGTTTCACCAGGTTTTAATTC